ATCGGTTTTGACTATGTAAAAACTATTTAGGTCTCATACTTTTGATAGTACTTTAAACATTTTAAAAGTAGCACTTTCATTAGTAAACAACTCTTTTTTAGTAGGAATGTAGTATTTTTGCTTGTTGCTACTTCTAGCTCAGCTACTTGTTCCTGTATTTCCAGGAAACCCATACAAATATTATACAAACTAACACAAACACATTCCTTCAACCAAAGCAACAGTAATCAACACCAAATAATCTGATTTATAATCAACCAAATGACACCAAAATCCAGACAGGAATCTTCAAATGTAAATTAAGAATTAATATTTATTATTTAGTATTTGGTTTAACTGTCACACCAGCACATTTTTTTAGCATGGCTGGTTAGTCTATTTGTTTTAGTGCCATGTATCACCCATCACATCACACACTTGGATCAGGCTCTAAAAGATTTCAGCAGCAGCCGGTGCAGATACTCACAGGTCCATAGACGGGCTGATAGCCAGGAGGAGCAACAAAGGTCATGACAGCAGTTGTGAGACGGATGCACGGACAGAAACAGGAGGCTTGTGTCAGGAGATGATCTCTGCTGGAAGCCTGGTTTTATACCAGTGATGAGGTAGGGGCTTGGTCAGGGAACAAACCCAGGCATGCATCACCATATTTACTTTGGCGGCCCTAGAAGCAAATTAACCTTTGACCCAGCAGAGGAGTGGCAAGTTACAAAGACAGTGTGAAGCATAGGAGACAAAACAAACATGACAAAACTGCAGCTGCAATTCAAGCAATGTGTATTCAGATACTTTACTCATGTAAAAGTGAATGCAAAATGAAAAACACATCACCACATGTAGAGTATGTAAGCGTAAGAAGTATAATGTTGGGTAATCTGTAGCACCGCATGTGATATTATCAGCTCATCTTTTCTATGTATAATCTCAATCAAGTGAGTAAAGCAGACAGAAAAGTACAGAGAAGTTGCTCTACCTTTAATTTGTACTTAAGTACTATACTTGAGTGACTAAGTTAAACTTATCTTAACATTCCTTGTCTGTTCGAGGAAAACAACTTTTCCAAAGCCGGAACCTGTGGATGAGACATGATCTGATCAGCAAACACAGTAAAAGTCACCCCTTAAAGAATTGATTGGGTGTATGAGTGATGAATGATTGAGAAAAGCCTATCTGCCAAAGACAAACAGAAACACAACTAGCCCTTATCTGCCACTCAAGTCTCCATTCACAAGTCTGTACATTAAACTACTTAATGGAAGTTGCAACTTTTTCCAGCAAATCCATCACAAAGTAAATTGATTATATCCTCAGACAAATGCACAAAGACACAACCATACATGGGTGTTTCCTGGCGCCTGAGAGGGAACATTTCATATTTCATCATTTTAGTAGAATTCAATTTGATAAGGTCTTATAGTTTTAGGGTTAATTTATATTTGATAATAAATCAAAAATCAGTTGAAGTTATTATATTGATATCTTAATTTACTCATCAAAAGCAAAGGAACGTTTCATAAACATTCAATATTCATATATTGTTTGAATGTCAGTGAAGACAATTGTACCTTTGTTGTAGTATTGAGGCTCAGGTCAGTGAGAAAAGACAAAGGAACAGACACTGAGGCCGAGATCCTAAACCTGAGGCTCATGAAGCAGAAAGCTGACAAACAAGTTATATAAGCCAATTATCTGTCTCTTAGGAGTGTATGCCTAGAGACAAATATTTGAACATGGAATGTATACTTGTGAGGACTTGTACACTCAGCCTAAACCTTTTTTTCGACCTTTAAACTAAATGTAATTTCCCAACGAAAAGCACTTGTCCCTCCATGAGCTCAAAGACACAAAACTACACATTCTCACTTCACGGCAAGAGGTTTGTTTTAAAGGAAAAATTGTTAATACACAGATTTAACACCAAAATCTAATCAGATCATCTGCTGCATATGAGGCATCTGTGGCACAAGTACAGATTAGATGGTGGAATCAATTGAAGTCACATTATCACAGTATTGAAAAAAAATCAGCTGAAAAGTTTGGAAAAAGTACTGACACAAAGTGAAGTAACTTCACTTAACTTTTGTTTTAACAACATTTAAAGAGGTACAATACATCAAGCAGTGCCCATATACCCAAGAACAAAATGTCAGCATTTAAACAGATGCAAAAGTATCAAAGAAAGAAAACAACAAATGGCGCATTTTCAATGAACATAATCCATATAAGTAGATCCATCCGCCTACTATCTATATATCTATATTTAAGTGCAATAAACAATACATTTATGCTACACATTGCATCTATTACTCGTTTTTCCCCATTGATAGTTTTTTTGGGTAGTTGTGTTGAGGTGAAGAACAGAGGATGTCGCACCTTGTGAATGTGGGTAATGCAAATTAAAATAAATTACAACATTTGATAAAGTAACTATGCTTGTTAATCGTTTGCATCAACCATAACATCATCTTTAAGTTACAGCTGGCTTACATTATGTTCCTTTTCAGTCCATGTACAAACAGAGTCAAATAAATAAAAACAGACAAGAATATTTAGTTTAGTTTTAGTTTATTGGTTCAGTTTTTCATTAGTTCATCTGATTCTTTGTAACTCACCTTGACCAACACGTGCTGCAGCAGCAAAAGGGAGGAGGTGCCTAACACTTCCTGTATTTGTACCTGTGATGACATCAGCAGTGATGTCGCTGGGAGCAACCATGTGTCAGGGGAGGTGGAGCAGGTTTTTGTGATTATCATTTGTTATATTTTGTATATAGCGTCTCAACCGAGCTGCCAAATGTAAACTTGGGGACAAGTGCCAGCCCAGGCATCTTTCAAGTTGTTTAAATAAAAACCTTCACCTGCATGTTTCCAGGAGAGGTGTGGCCAGGGAGGATGGTGCAGTCTCCTGCTGATTGAGGGGACTATATAAACAGAAGCTGCCTGAACTTCCAGGGGGACATTGTTCAAGGGAGGAAATAAATAAATAAATAAATGAATACGAAAAAGGTGATTCGAAATAAGGGAGAAACAAGCACTAATGGTATTATATGAATATTTAGTGGATTTAATTTCTCAGATATAAAAAAACTACAACCAATAAAGTCATGATATTACACACTCATATACAACAGGTGGCGACATGATCCTCTGGTCTTTGAAACCAAACGCTTTCAAGGGGAAGGGACATTGGAGTGTAGCCATGAGCATGTGATAGTCGAGTTTTGTTCAGTTAAGCTGAGTAAAACTGTTTTTTTTTTTTTAAAGAGGTGACAAAAACAAGTAAACACACACAAAATGTTGCACATAAATAAGGACGCTGGTTCTAGTTCTCCTTAAAATAATCTGTTTATTCTGTATTGAAACACAGGGTTCAGTCAGGTGGAGCGTAGTGATCTGCATTCAGCTCCGTACCATCAGCTGCCTCTGTGAGCGCCACAGCGACACATGCACACTTCAGAGTCGTCAGCAAACAAGATACCGCTCGGCCTTTGACGAAAAAGAGTCGTAACGCCAAGTAAAGGATGGAGAGATTGTGAGTTTGTGTTCTGAACGAGGCTTCGTGATACAGAACTGTCTGAGATAAACGCACCACACGTGGCTTTTCTTGATCGAGAAAAATAACTGATATGCTGGATTCCTAAAAATATCTATCATAAAAACTTAACTAGCGAAAACAACAAAAGCTTTTATTTTTCTCTTCTGACTGCAAACTGGGCATTTACTTCAGTGAGAGACCGGTTCTCTTCACCATGGTGGATTTCACAAACAGGACGCATGACACGTTCATGTCCGACACAGTAGCATGGATTCATCAAAGCCCTAAAGAAAAATAAATATATGTATCTATGATTTATGTAAAATACGTCTTTTCATCAAAAGACCTCTAAGAGGCCTCGTCATTACTCAGTTATACAGATGACACTTTGGCCAAAATGTATACATTAAATACATTCATTACTTATTTTAATGCACTGACAAAAAAACTATTTGTGCATAAAGTGTCGTGAAGCAGGCTGTTGGCCAGAAATACAGACGGGCTAAAACGGTCGTCTTAAGAAGGTCTCATCTGCATATAAACAATAAATAAATAACCTTGGCATCCTCGTATGCAGTATGTGTGAGTCACTATCTTATATGGCACAGAGACACCAGTGGAGATAGGGGCCACATACATCCAGGGACACATTGTAAGACTTCAGAGTGCAAACTGGTTCTGTCAATACAGCTGATCCCCACCAGTATATGTCACATACGCAGACAATACTCCGTTTCATTAGTTTGACAGGTCAGTTCAACAAACGTTTTCCAAACAAAATCGCTTTTTTTGTCCAAAACGTCCACTACTCCATTAAGGATCCGTCAAAGATACGACTGTGAGCTGCTGAATCATTTCTTCAAAGCGCTCTCTCCGAAACACCAGAAATCAGAAATTAAATATCAAACGGCAGCAGCCACATAGGAAAAGAAAAAATCTTCAACCTTACAAACAATATAAATAGAACATATCCACTCTAATCTCAAATAAAAGTGTTAAAGCTAAAAATCTAAACTATTAGGTGGCTAAAGCAGTGACATTGCTATAGGCACTGTAATGTTTACAGCAGTAGCTACTGAAAGAGCCCGTTGTGTATATGTTCTACACAGAAAAGGCCAAGTAGTGTTTTATAGCGGAATAAAAAGGCCCCTGGCTTGTTGTGTCTTTTTATGCCTATCTGATATTTTTGATTCTGCTCTTCTCAAATCTAATCCATCAACATTCTGCTGCAGTTGGTAACAATAGTGCAGTCAAAGTGTGCATAGCTTCAACGGAGGAGAGAAATGTGCAGTAAAAGGACAAAACAAAGACATAGACGCGTTTCCTCGCTCTGGATTTTCCTCCCCTCCCCTCTTTCTCCTCCTCCTCCCCCCTCCTCTTCATATTCTCTCCATCAGACGTGCATTCATGACGCGGGACGCTATCCGAGCTGATCCTCATACTGCTTCCTGAAGCAGTCTCCAGCCGGGAAGAAGTCCCAGCATCGCTCCTGATACATCTTCCACACGTATGACTCCTGAAACACAGAAGAGAAAATGACACCAGACACAACAGAGAAGCTTACGAAGAATAACACAGACAAAAAACAGCTTCATTATTTATTTTACAATCATCTTCATATTTACTGACCTGTCCAGTGTGTTCTGTTTCATCTTTATTGATGAGATACATCAGGAAGAACCTGAACGAGGAAAAGAACAGACACAAAACAAAAGTAGAAATTAAAGCTTGAATATTTGGGCAGTAAAAAGACATGTTTCCCTATTCAAGGCTCATTTACGCTCAACAGTACATGCATATACAGATATGGACAGAGCCCTCTGTGCGCACTCTGCTTTCACTTGGTCTGGATTCGTGCACGTCCTCTGAAAGCTTTTGTATACGTACAAAACAAGATAAAATGGAGCAGTACCACCAGAAATCCAGCAGCTCAGTGTAGCCAGACGTTCAGGGGGGACGACCATAGGCTGAACTTTTTGAGGAGAGGATTTGTGAGTTGGTAAATTAGACGACTGCCATTTTTTCCCCTTTTTTTAGGAGCTTCATTATCACAACCTCTAGTGGTTGATTGACAACCATGCCGACATGAAGGATGCATTGAAGTGTTGTGGTCAGTGACAGTTACATCATTTGAAATAAACAGATCTCATTAAATTTAAAGCTAAACAATAACAGAACAAATATCTGTCACATCTTTATATTAACTTCAGATATTAGGATGAAATGTAACTCACATGTAGTTGGCTAAGTTGTGTTCTTCTAAAGTGTGCGTCTCGAAGCCGTGCGGCGTCGTGTCAAAGTAGTCGCTTCCTATTCCACAGATGAAACACTTGGTCTGCAGGGAGAAAAACAAGGACACTTCACATTAACACTTTGCTTCCTTCTTTTTTTGGAGCTGCGGGAGATTTGAAGGTGGGTGTCTGTAAAGTTCCTCGTTCAATCTCTCACCTCCATGTCCTCTCTGACCTGCTCCTGCTGGTCTCTCAGCTCTCCAAAGGCATCAATGATCAAACCTGACACACACACACACACACCCAGCATTATTTCTCACTGGACTGAGGATTAGAGTGATTCACAACTATGTTAGAGTTTGTAGATCACTCCAGTTTTCCTAAAGCTTTTTAAAGTCTACAAATCAAGGTTTTTATTTACATGCTGCTTATTTTTGCCTTTTGTAAGCAGTTAATTGTGTGTTTCATTTGTGTTGTTGAAGGAAACAGATTCACAGCCACGTTTACAGACATTAATAGTCTACAAGTACAGTATTTACAGTCATTACACATGTAAGTGCATTGCATGTTAGGATCTGCAAGACTCTTATGAACTTGTAATTTAGTTTTGTTTGGCTCCATACATCTTTTTGTATTTTGGGTTTGTTTTATAATTTGCTTTTCTGTTTTACTTTGGGGGCGGCATGGTGGTACAGTGGGTAGCACTGTCGCCTCAAGCAAGACAGGACTGTTCGTACCCTGGATGATGGCCAACAGGATGACGATGACAAAGAAGAAGAAGGTGATGTCAAACACGACTCGGTAGAGCTCGTATTCATCTCCAGCTGGGTCCTCAATTTCATCTCCAATACCACCACCAGCACGCACGCCAACATACATGTGGAACAGGTAACACTGCAGGAGGGAGAGAGCACAGGGGTCAGCTCTGAAATTAGAAATAGAAATGAGTAGTAACTGCCCCTGCTCCACTCACCGTCATCATGTCGTCACACTTCATGTCCGGTTCGTCCTCGTCCTCACTCATGTTGTAGAACTTGCGGAAGAAGTTGAAGGCCACCACGGTGTAGAGGTACACCACCACCGCCAGCAGACCCACCGTCATCATCAGCTGCATGGAGCAGACACGTACGTCAGCAGTGAAAGATCAATTACAAATATGTAATAGATGGGAAAAGGTGGAGATGTACAGACCTGTTTGCCGTTGTGAGTGACGGAGGACAGGATTGTGCGCAGGGTTTTCACACCCATGGCGATGTCCAGAAGATGAGCGGCGTAGAAGAAGTTGTTGTAGTGTCCGAGCAGAGACATTAACATGTACCACACCAGGTAGAGGAATGTCTAAAACATCAATCAGGTTTGTCAGCGACACCAAACTCAAAACAGAATCTCTGATGATCTGAATTATACAGAAAAACTGCTTCTTTAACTCACATTGTCAGTGAACACGACACCAAACTTCCAGATCTGGTACTTGACGTCGATAGATGTGATCCTACAGAGAGAGGGGCACGTTTGTTCTGCTGCATTTGGTGCAATAAACCCGTTAATTAAATCCCTTATGTTAAGATTAAACAGTGCATACCAGCTGAACATTGAGGTGTCTGGTTCAGGCTTCTTTTCATGCGTCATGGCGCTGACGTCCAGAGAAGCCAGGTCCATACCGAGCAGCTCAGCAATCCTCTCTCTGCCGTAGATGTCACCGTATTTGTCCAGCACCTGGAGACGTCACACACAGACATCAATTTACCACAAGATGCATCCCTGCAAAAAAACATGGCTGACCTCATGATGCCAGAGCTGAAAAACTCACCTTTCTCTTCACAAACTTGTCCCAGTAATTGTTGGGGAAGGAGCTGCACGTACAGAGAAACATGAATCAGGTTCAGGCCTTAAACATACATAAATCTATATAACACATTAAACATAAACATTAATATGGATATTATTTGATTATTGATCATGTTATCCTTGTTTCCACTATCACACATGCAACAGGAGTGACACCAGAGGTCAAGACTTGCCAACTAGTGTTAGTTAATCATTTGGCTGTGATGGATGATTATTCATGTAGAATAGAAAGAGTGAAGAATTTTCAAGAGTCACTAAACTTTCTGTTTCTTTCAGGGCCTTTTTTTTCTACCTTCACTGAGCAGGTTTGTCTGTTAATTTCACAGGTTTGAAAAACCTTTGTGAACATAATAACACCTTAAATATGAAACCTTTGTGATCATTATCATTCTCAGTATCTGAAGAGAGAGAGTTTTGATGCTAAAACATTGGCTGATATTTTCAGCACTCTGTGATATATCCATCCATCTATCTGTTAATGTAGCGGGGGGCTTACGGAGTGTTGAGCACCATTCTGTCCCACTGGCCCTTGATGTCATCTTCCTCTGGCTGCTCAGTGACATAGAGTCCATCGAACTCCAGCTTTCTGGCCAGCTCCTTCTCCCTCTTGAAGATAACCAGAGGGACCTAAGAGCATGGAGAGAAAAGTGGACAAACAACATGAGACCTCCGAGCAAACACAATAAAACACAGGTGGGTTCTTGTCAAGCTGACGTTGCTCACCTTCAGGCAGTTGTAGCCGATGATGCAGAGGAAGGAGATGATGGTGTGGACGATACCAAAGAAAGCCATTGCCGGCTCCATGTAACCCGTGCTCTCCTCCAGGAAGTAGTACATGGGACCTTCTTCCTCGTCATCCTCTCCTCCGTCATCTAATCCAGAGCCGTCTTCCTCAGCACCGGAGCCTTCAAACAGGCCAGAACCCTCAAACAGACCAGATCCCTCAAAGTCGCCCGAGCCTGGAGGACTGTCAGACACCTGGGAAGAACAGACACAAAATGTGAGTCTCACTGAGTCTTTCAAGTACATTATATTCATGTGGCATGAAAAGAAACTTCAAAGAAGACTTAATGTTGGTGAGTGACTTTGACTTATTGTGTTATTAACAATTAAATGTATAATCGGGTAGTGGCACTTGCTATGGATGAAATGTCATCAATACTGGATGTGTATGTGTGAAAGGTTTTAAATGCACAGACCTTGTAGAAGAGCAGGATGAAATTGAGAGCGAAGGCGATGAACAGGGCCAAGAACCGCAGGTTGTAGAAGTTACGAGAAAGGTAGTTCTGGAAGGAAATACACAGAGAAGTGAGTAAAAACTATGTTTAGAAACATCAATATGAAAATATGCAAAGTAATGCAATAAAGAGCTGCTCACCATAAATTTAATCCTCTGGACCTCCAGCTCATTCCACAGCTCAAAGCCCTCCTCAGCAGGTTTCTTTTCCTTCTTCGACTTGGTCTTCACCACCTTTACCTCTTCCTCCTCTGGCTCTTCCTCCTTCACCTCAGGTTCAGGTTCCACCTTCTCTGTCTTCTCTCCATTCTCAGTGCTGGAAAAGACAGAGACATGAAAACATGCTGTGGACGCAGAATCAGCCCTTTTCTTTATATCTGAAAAGTTGACGAGGCTTTTGACACGTACTAAGAGAAGTGATCATATCACACCAAACCTTGCTGCTCTTCACTGGGAACGATAACTGTGAGTTTGAATTCTTATACATCTCTTCTTGAAACTCACTTTGATTGTCTGCATTTACATAGTTCTAGTCTTTATCGAAGCACTTTACAACCACATCTATGTGCAGCACTTTCCCATCATACATAACTCACACTTCAGTGTCTTGTACGAACATATGGAGGAGCTGATAATCCAACTGCGACCTTCTGGTCAGTGGACGACCCTCTGCTCTGAACCTCCTGAGCTACAGCCACCCGTGGCATATTCTTGACTACTAGTATGAACACGTCTGATCTTTAACAGAAGCTGCCGACAACTTACTCTGCTTTCTCAGTCTCCTGAGGAGCCTCTGCTTCAGGTTCGACAACTTCTTCCTCTCCTGGTCCTCCCACTGTAGCAGCCAACTGTTTCAGTCACAGTTAACAGTTAACTAATGCAGAGCAAACACATTAACGCATTGACAGTCAACAACCGTGAGACGGAACATCTCACCAATTTCCTCTTCAGCAGCGGCGTGCCCTCTGGAGTTGGAGGCTCTTCAGTCGTCGTCTCCCCAAAGTCTCCGAGTCCCCCAGGTGCATTGAAGCCAGGCAGGCGTCCACCTTCCCTGTCCTCACCATCCTCCTCTTCCTCCTCTCCCCCGACTGCATCTAAGAGTTCCGCCGCTTCATCCGCATCTTGAACATCTCGAGCACCTGGTTCAGGTGGCAGGTCCCCGTGAACTTCATCCTGCGTTGGATCTGGCATACTGGCTAGGATTTCTGTAACCGTCATCTTCTTGGCACCCTCCACTAAGCCTCCACCGAACAGAACTTTCCATATGAATGTAAAGAAGCCCTTACATATATTGTAGATGAAAATGAGGATTCCCATCAGAATAGTGTATATGAATGTCACCAGGCCAATCACCATCTCCTTCACAGTCATTTTTCTGAATTTGCGGTAGCGACGCCGCAGGTTGCGGAAGGTGAACATGCTAAAGAAGTCAACCACGCTCTTCAGGAAGTCGGCAAAGGCTGAGGTCGACTCTGGAGCTTCATCTTCTCCATTGCCCTCTTCACCTTCTCCAGACTCTCCTTCATCTCCCCCACCCTCCTCTTCTTCCTCGTCATCTTCCTCCTCTGCACCGTCTCCCTCTGGCTCAGAGATAGACGCAGCAATGTTCATCTCAAAGATGGTGTCCTCACAGAAGTTCACAAACATCTCCATTTTCTCGCTCTCGCCGCCCTCATTGACCACGTCAAAGATGAACTGTCGCTTGGACTCTCTGACCTGCGGCATTTCCCACTGGTTGCGGTTCGCCTCGCTGATTTCAAAATAAATGCGCTCAATCTTCCTGCTGGCTCCCATGATCTCAATGCGGCCAAGGTACGGGCGGAAGTAGTTGAGCACGCTCTCTGCCTGCTCCAGGAAGTTCTGCAGGCGAGTGTCGTGAGGTACGTGCTCTGAAAGGTTTGTGAGCAGAACAGCAATATTGAAACCGATGTCTTTAGCTGGCTCCTGGAAACGATCAGCAAACTCCTCAAAGTTGATCATCTCGTTCTCATCGGCCTCTGAGCAGGAGAGGAGGAACTGGATTTCTGAGGGAGAGTATTGCTTCTGGCTGTCCATGGCCTTGGAGAAGTCCTTCTTGGAGATAAGCCCACGGGGGTCTGTCACGTAGTCTCGGAAGGCATCGGACGCCACTATGTCCTTGAGCTTCAGGAACATGTCAAAGAACTTGAGAATCATCTCCACGTTGCTGGAGGACTCCACCAGCATGTCGACCATCTGCCGAGCAATCGTGCCATTCACCACGTTGCCTAGAGAAGTACGAGATGACGGAGGTGAGGGAAGTTCAAAAAGTTTGTAACTGAAAGAGCATCTTACTTCATACCTTCAAGCAAAGACAGAAGCATCACGACCATATCTTTCTGCAAATCCAACAGTTCCTTCAACAGTCCAATTTGACTGGAATCCTGGGAAATCGCCAAACACAAACAAACGGTAGAGAAAACAATATTCTTAAGGTGTGTACAGACAGTGCAGTGACAGTTTAATTTGAGAGCATGTGTGCTTCAGCTCTGAGACATAAAATGTTGAGAAACACTACCTCAGAATGTGCTCTACTCCAAAAATCCTGGGTTTGCATTTTTAAACAGAGAATATGCATTTTAACATGGTAAATAGTAACACTCTATGTGATGGAAAGCAGGACAGACACTGGAGGACGGGTATAAGAGGGGGGGAGGAAAAACGCGCCGTGCTAGACAGCTCTGCCTTTTCCCCTTTATCAGAAAAAGTGGCTGCAGCACAGGAGCGAGGACGAAATAAAGGTATTTAGAGACGCTGATCTTAGCACTCCTGAAGACCTGCACCAGCAGATAACAAGAGCCACAGAGACATTACGACAGAATAAAGTGGTTGTCAGGCTGGTGGAGATCTAGAGGAAAAGGGTGTCAGGACAGGCAAGCGTCGAGAGCAAGAGTGAAATCAGAGAGGAAACTTTGAAAAGAAACAAGAAAACATAAACAACAAGCTGCTAAATGAACAAGAGCAAAGCTTCAGATGTTTTAGGGAATAATTCATCAATAATATTTTGAATGGACATGGTCGAAAAATATATTCTTATAGTAGTTAGTTTTGAAAAAAAAACGAAAAATGTCAATGTTTCTAGTGTATTAGGGCCAAATTGAGATTATGACAATCTCATAATATTATAAAATAAGGCTGTACTTTAATGAGAAAAAGGCTCAAACATATTATGAAACTAAAGAAAACATTATTTTAGGTAATAAGCTGCAAGACAACACATGATCGCCTTCTGGATCCAAAAAGTCTTGAACCAATTTCATTGTTTCCTGAGAAAATACAAAACCCTAATAAACTTTAGGTAGATGTGACCAACAAAAGCTTTACAGTCGAACTTCCAAACATGTGGAATTGATGTGATAAAACATGAAGCATTTCGTTATTTACGAAACTAAAAGTATAAAATTACTATTTCATTCTTGTAATCTCAGATTTTATTGATTTTAATGGCCCGAATACTCAGTTGTACTATTTGTATACAACAAAATTGAGTTTTTCTCCCTTAATGCATATTTATAATTGATTTATATTTTGAATCTGTCTGAACGTGCGGTGTTTCTACCTGCTGAATACTTTAACTACTATAACTGAATTGATGGCTTGTTAGAAAAACCAAACGAAGAAGGCTGGTAAACCTGGCAAACGCAAAGGGAAGACATGACTTGCTGCAGATGAAATACACAAAGGGAAGGAGGGGGAATGAAGCAGGTCGTTAAACTGTGAAATAAATAATAAGGTGAAGCATGAGCCCCTTAAGAGAAAAAGCATGGGGGGTATTAAATGAAATGACAATTGCAGAGAGACACAGAATCTTACGCCATTTCGTTGTCCAGGATCGGGGTGCATCTAACAGGGTTACACATGAAAATAAAAATGTCATCATCAACATTTTTACTTCA